GCATGAGTAGCGGTGAAATGTAGAAGTGGAAAAGGAATTTCTTAATTGAAAGAGATGTTAAGGCACAATCTGCTTATTGCCTTCCAAAGGTGCATAAAGAAGGGTTTCTCCTTACATTGAGTGCTAACAATAAGGGATAATGTTATGTAGAAAATTGAGAAAAATGACCAAATATTGGTTATTTTTTGGTAAAAAAAACCTTTATAAGTTTGTTAAACTAGTGGGCCGTGGTATCAATGTACACAAATATTCGAGTTTCAGGAGCCATTCCGGCTCTAATGCTCACCCTTGAGGAGGATTCCGAAATTACAGAAGGAATCAAGTTAAGTATAGCCTCCATTCTAAGGCTTCTTTATCTCTCCATAAGTAATACATATTTCATCTTTGACGGTAAGTTTTATGAAGAGACACAAGGACCTACAATGGGTTCTTACTTAACTTAAATTTTGGCGAATAACCATATGGCTAAGTTTGAAGAACGCTTGATGTAAGAGGTAATTCTGACTCATTACTTGTTTATTAGATATATGATTGGTTAGTTTGTTATCTGGAAGCCTGATTTAAATAGTTTCCTCTTTTCACCTGACCAGCATAAAAGAAATATTAAGTTCAAAATAGAATCATAAGGAAATAGGAAATTACCTTTTTAGATGTTATGGCTATTAGGAAAGATTGTAGGCTAGGCAGAGATACTCATATGAAATCAGTATATGTTAGTTTTTCTCTTAATTTTCTTTCTAGCCATAGTTAAAAACTGAGATTGGGATTTTAAAATCTATTATCATTTTGAGTCTGAGGCTTAGGGATTAAAATCATCTGACCGAAGAGTTAAGAAGACTGAAATATTTAGTCCTGGATAATAATTATCCTTTGGGCTTAATTGACAATAATATAACTTTAATGATACATACATTTTCAGGCGGAGACTATTTGTTCAGAGAGAGGTAATTCGAGACCCTCCCTTATATTCTAGTCTTGCCATCATGTTTTCTTCCCAAGAAGATAGGAGAACTAATGAGGAAGTGGGCGATAAAGACAGTTTTCAAAGAAACCCTGACCCCTTCTTTTAGAAATAAATATGACCCACTATCAAGATCCGACTATTATCAGATCATTTATTCTTGTGGTCGACCTCATGTTGGCGAGACCTGTAGGCCGATCCGCTAAATAACAACAGCCAAAGTTGATCTGGCCAACAGACCTGATTGTGGAGGCAGAAGGAAGGGTGAAACTCCCCCCACAAGCGATTGCAGCAGAACGAGTATGTCTGCAGCATTCACGGCGATTGCCGTCTGGCCAGGAAAAGTGGGCGCTGCTCTGGAGCCGGCATCGGCTGTCTCCATCGGCAAAGTGGGGATGCTGGCTGCCTGGCCAAATAAACTCCAGGGTCCCAGAAGCCCTGTTGTCTGGGCGGTGGTCAAAGATGAGGGGGGGCTGGCGAACGAGGATGCAGTGAGGCAGGTGGGGGCGAGGTTGGAGTAGGCGAAAAAGGGATTTAGAGAAAAGGCACTGGGTGAGCTGGGCGAACAAGGCGGAGAAGATGAGACGTAAGACCTTCGCGGACGAGATGACCCAACCGGCAGGCCTTCACCAGACACGTCAGAGATGCGCACTTCTTCGGAGACCGTTTCGAACTCCTGCTCAATTATGCCTACCTCAGGATGGGTCTGTGATTTTCATGCATGTTTGTGTATACATTTTTTTATTTAATTTATCAGTTATTTATATATAAATATAGTTAATATCTTTTATAGATAGAGAGTTGTTTGAATTTATGAGTGCTTGTTTATTTGTTTGTGTTTGCGCGCACATATAAATATAAATATATAAATAAATAAACATCATATAAATATATATGTGTGTGTGTGTGTGAGTAACAAAGGATAAAATTTAGATATAATGCTGCAACGAAGCAAATAACATTAAAAAGTAAGAACTGATAAGATGAATATTAAAAGAACCGGCGGTCTGATCGCCGGCTACTTTCGATGAATGCAAGTGGGTTGACCTCTTTTTCGCAACTTTGGCATGCTGTCAGGGGGACTTGGTTGGACGCACCTTGTCCGAAGTCCGACGCCGGGCCGTATGAAAGCTACTATAGCAGAGAACTTCGGACAAAGTAAGCCTCCATGACAGCATGACGAAGTAGCGAAAACGAAGTCAACCCACTTCTATACAATAAAGGAACAGTTGCACTGTTATATTGAGCAAAGGGTGCAAATTAATATTTGTCGAGTAAGTGTGACAGCATGGCAATTTTGACATTCTTGACATCTCTTTCAGCCAGATAAATGAGAAATATTTCTATACTAAGGAAAGAAGAAAGATGAAAAAGACAGTGACTCGTTCCACCTGTATTAAACTCGATAATAAAAATCAAATTTATGTTAATGACTGACTTGACCTCGGTTTTCGGGATATTAAAAAAATACCCAGTCCTGTGTTTTACATCATTAGTCGTGGTAATATTCATTAAATGTCCGACATGATTAATTCGCAAATGCATAGTTAAGAAAGCGAGGTCAATCACAAGATCATGCCATCTCGGTCTACATAGCTACGACTCATCTTTATGTCTTATCCTATAATGCTGTTCTTATATGACTTGGCTCGGAATTAATTACCCAAACTGTCAGGCCACAAGACGATCTTCATTATCTCCATAGATATTGCTATTTGGGTGAGTAATATATATAGTATAAAACTTACCATAATGGGATGATTTGAGGAAATAGAAGAAAAAACAGAAAACTGCAAAATATGATAAACATTATTTAGTAATATGTCATTCTCACTTTAGTTAATTGATCAGCAATTGAAAAACAGATGTTAAGATAAATTGCAGTTTGCACAAATATCCGAAGCATTCCTATGCTTATGATATTTAGTCACCTTTAGTCGCCTGAGAGGACATATGACTGATATATTGTGACATGGCTTTGCGTTTCAAGAGAAAAGTTGGTTGGAAGGGGTCCGTGAATTACAGTACTTGATGCGTTTTTCGTAGAATATGGTTTAAAGCTCTGCTAATGTCTATCACATGAGAGTTGAAGGCCTAACACAAGTTCATCGAGGTCGCAGGATGGTGAGCCAGTCTCGACTGCAAGCCAATCCTGCTTTGGTTTCCGGTAGGACCATGAATTAATTCCAACCAATTCTTTCTTCTAAGTGAATTATAATGTCACAATAAATCTCTCATAACTTCTTCTCGTAAATATGACTGGCAATTGAGTCTCCAATAATAATTAAGATAAACTTAAAATTCAATCAGACTTGCCACCAGAAAGGTTTTCTCG